ACCAAAAAAAAAAAAAAAAAGATAAATGTTAATAAAAATATTCCAAAAATTATTCCTAAAAGTTTATTTTAAAGTTCACATGGTAGACTTAACTTGGGTCCAGAAAAAAATTCGGAACCCCAGAATAACCAACACTGGTAAAACTATGATTAAAGCTGGTGGGACTAAAACTTTGCAGTGTTTTTAAGAAACAATTCAGCAACATCAACATAAAAAAAAAAAAAAAACCCAGTAACTTTGACTCAGTAACTCTTTTATGAATTTATCCTATATCTTATACAATATGTACCAGTGTATTTTTTAGTCAATAACTTTATTAGAAAAAGATTAATACTAAAACATTAATGACACAATCAACTCTAACAGAAAGTCAGAGATACTGTATTTTCACTTATAAATCCAAAGACTAAGTATAGAAAGTTGTAAAAATGGAATCCCACTTACACAAGATTGGATGCATTTAGGGTGGTGTTGGCTGTGAACTGGAATCCCACTTAAGTCTGATTCAAAAGAATACTAATATTTAATCCTGTCTGCAAAGTCCAAGAATGAAAACTTGCAATTAAACACTGAGCAAGCCACGTGTTTAGGTAATATTTCTTTAAAAGTCTTAAAGAAAAAAATACCATACAGGACCTAAGTTTTCAGTGGCATATGTGCTATTAACACATGTTCTGAAATTTGATAGGCTACATCCTGAATTTTTAATTAAAAAAACAAAAACAAAAAACTAAGCATTGTACTTTTTTATACCATTATAGCTTTTTTCACCTCATTTTAATGTCAATCTTCACTGTATGGTGTTATCAGTATTCTTCAAGAAATCTTTGCACAGCAGTCCTTTGTCTGATCTGAGATCTTATCAGATTAGTTTTCATTGGACTTAGTGCCACTTTTATCTTTTATGTCTTCAGTGGTCCCACTGACCTCATTCTTAGTATTACTTTTCTTCGGTTCGGTTCCCTATACCCTCAGAAAAGGGGGCTCAGAATATTAAAAATATGTTTACTATTTATAATGCACCTTTTAGGAGTCAGCCACTATGCTGAGTGTCTCAGAAGGTTATTTTAAGTCCTCACAACAACCCATGAGGTATTACTGTTGCCACTTTACCTAAGAATAAGCAAAGTTTAAAAAATCATAAGGTACCCGAATCACAAATTTGGCTCTATTCTTTTTTCTTAAATCTTCTTGATCTGCTGTTTACCAAAAAAGGAATATTTTAACTTAATATTTACATTTTACTAACTTATCATGTAATAAATTTATTTCTATAGTGCCATTTAGTCCTTCCCACACCTCAATCTGGCCCTCAATCAACCCTGAGAAGCCTCACACAGCAGTCCTCAAACCCCTCATTTTAGAGATGAGGATCCCAAGACCCCGGAAGCTCATGTGAGTCCCTCTCCCAGCTCCTGTACAGGCACTTCTAGAGCCCTCGAGTCCACAGATCCAAGTGCTTTACGATGACAACCCTGCTGCTAACTTTACAGAGAAAACAGAAGCCATCAGGCATGAATTTTTCTACTTCTCTCTGCCCTATAGCTAAACTTACACACTTTTGAGTCAGAGAAAAAAGAACTCATTCTCCTGCCCCCAAAACTACTGTGTACCCAGGATCCCACTTTTCCCTATCTATTCCAAGTTGTTACTCTACCAGTGAGTTATTTTCCTGTTTCTTCCCTGCCTTCAACTTCTCCCTCTCTGCTGGCTGATTTCCCTCAGGGCCACGCCATGCACGTGCACATTTTTGCTTCCATTTGAAAACAAAACAAGAAAACCTCTTACCCCACATTCTTCCTTAAATATTGCCCCATCTCTTTCCTTCTAGGCCAACCTCCTTCGAAAGCACAATTTACACCAGATGCTTCCATTAACTTTTCTCCCATTCAGTGAGAAACAGATTTTGCCCTCATCATGCTTGGGACTCTGCTCTCCCAAAGGTTATTAACACCAAAGCTAAGGGCAATTCTCAAAATATCAAATCTTTATCCTGATCTAACCCTTTTCTGGACTCTAATATCCAAATCAGTTAGACTCCAAAACAAGTGCCCTTAACCATTATGTGATACTACTTGCGGCTAACCACACTTAAAAAAATCATCCAAATTTCCCTCTCTATTTCAGTCAGTCAGCAAAATAATAAATTTCCTAAATATCTCTGATATTTCTTACTGATGACTCCTAGGCATGCAATTTAGGAACTTTATTTTAAACTTCAACCTGTATTTCCTCCTTAAAAGCTATTGCTTTCACAATATGACACAGGGAATAATCACCTCTCTTCTGTGACCAGCTTTGGGGTACCACACTGAACTACTTTCGCATTACAGAAGACTGCAAGTGAAGAAAAGTGGCATTTTATAAATGAGAAACAGAATGAGTGGTTTAATTACTGTCTGCCTAGCACAGAATACAAGGGAATCAACAGTATGTATCTGTGACGTGATGGTTATTGTAAATACAAATTATCTGGTAAGATCTTTTTTTTTCACCTTCCATATGGCCTGATTTGTTTTCAGATTTAATGGATTTTGCTTTGCACGAAGAAAGCAGTAAATAAATGAGGAACTACATCAGCATTGCAGGGACGACCTCTTCTAGCCCGCTAAAGGTCCCGGGCTGACAGTTCTTTATCCCTACCAAACCCCTTCCTTGCTATCCAAGACAAGCTGTCAGTCCCCAGACTCACCTCTTAGAGATTTCTCAGCCACGAGGGCCTAGACAATTATCCCCTCACACTGAAAGGCTTGTAGAAAAGTGACAACCTGTGCTCCCCTGACACGCTGTCATTCAGTCTGCGGGAAAATGTAATCCTGAGAATCAGAGAAAGGACTTTGCTCGCAGTTGATTTTAAGAACAGGCAACACGGTGTTTATCCTGATTAGCGAGGTGCGCTCTGCCCGGAAGTGACGCATGCGGGGCCCGGAACCGCGCTTACAGAAAAGGGGTGGTTCTTCCGTTCCGAGCCCCGTGAGGGCTGTGTCAAAGAACGCTGGAGCGGCTCAGGGCGCCGTTTCTGTTTCCTGGCCATGGGCCCGCGGAGCCGTGAGCGTCGGGCGGGAGCAGTACAGAGCACCAATGACAGTAGCGCCCTCAGCAAGAGCTCTCTGGCCTCGCGCGGGTACGTGGACGATGCGTTCGCCTCGCTGCTGGTTCCGGCGACCGCGCGCCGCGCGCCCCTTATCCACCGGGGCTACTACATCCGCGCACGCGCCGTGAGCCACTGCGTGCACGCCTTCCTGCGGCGGACGAGCGCTTGCCCCGACGCGCCTCGCGCCCAGATCCTGTCTCTCGGCGCAGGCTCGGACTCACTGTATTTTCGGCTCAAAGCTTCAGGCCTTCTGGCCCGGGCCGGTGTCTGGGAAGTGGATTTCCTGGAGGTGGCGCGGCGCAAGGCGGAGAGGATCGGGGAGACGCCGGAACTATGCGCGTTAATCGGGCCTTTTCAAAGGGGGAGCCCCGAGTCGGCGCTGTGCTTTGAGAGCTTGGACTACCGAATTCTGGGCCTGGACCTGCGGCAGCTGCGGCAACTGGACGAGGCCCTGGACGCGGCGGGCCTGGCCGCGGCCGCACCCACGCTGCTTCTGGCCGAGGCCGTGCTCACCTACCTCCAGCCCAGCAGTGCCGCAGCCCTCATCGCCTGGGCTGCGCGGCGCTTTCCTAACGCCCTGTTCGTGCTGTATGAGCAAACGAAGCCGCACGATGCCTTTGGGCAGGTCATGTTGCAGCATTTCCAGCAGCTGAATTCTCCCCTGCACGGCCTGGACCTCTTTCCTGACGTGGAGGCGCAGCGGCGCCGCTTCCTTCAAGCTGGCTGGCCGGCCTGCAGTGCCATGGACATGAATGAATTCTACCGCTGCTTTCTCCCTGCTGAAGAACGCCTGCGCGTGGAACGTCTGGAACCCTTTGATGAGTTTGAGGAGTGGCATCTGAAGTGCGCGCACTATTTCATTCTGACAGCTTCGAGGGGAGACGCCCTCTCCCAGACTCCTGTGTTGCCTCCCTCAGAGGCATTTCCTCGGGTCGACCCTGCTTCGCCCTCAGGGCTCCTTGCTGCCAGAGTGGTCACTAGTGGCAGCCAGGGTTCAGACCTTAAGAGATATGGCCACGCCTCTGTCCTCTTGAGCCCCGGAATTGTCCTCAGTACGGGAGGATTTGGAGAACAGGAAGGACGGCACTGCCGAGTGAGCACGCTTCACTTGTTCTCAAAATACCGTCAGGCTGAATGGCAAAGCACCCGCATATGTGGTTGCGGGACTGGACTGCAGTGGGATGGACGCCTTTACCATACCATGACAAGACTTTCGGATACTCGGGTTCTGGTCCTGGGAGGGAGACTGTCCCCATTAAGTCCAGCCTTGGGGGCTCTCCAACTTCATCTATGGAAGAGTGAGGATAATAGCACCGAATCCCTGAATGTGACAGTAACAAAAGTTGGCTCAGATTACACTTTGTCACGTTGGCGGCATTCAGCAACAGAAGTGTCTTATCAGAATGAGAAACACTTGTTTGTGTATGGGGGTCGGAATGTAGTGGAACCAGCGCTAAGTGACTGGCATTTCCTACATGTAGGAACAATGGCTTGGGTCAGGATCCCAGTGAAAGGGGATGCTCCTGAAGCTCGCCATTCCCATAGTGCCTGCCCTTGGCAAGAGGGAGCCCTTATTACCGGAGGTCTTGGAGCTTTTGAAGAGCCTTTAAAATCTATAGTCTTCCTGAGACCAATCTCTGGAGGATTCCTGTGGGAATCAGTAGATATCCAGCCTCGCATTACTCCAAGGTACTCCCACACATCTCATGTATTCAGTGGACAGCTTCTGCTGGTCGGAGGGGTCTGGATTCATTCCTCCTCAGTTCCTGGAGTGACTGTTATCAATTTGAGTACAGGGTTGAGCACTGAGTATCAGATTGATGCAACAAGTGTGCCATGGCCATTAATGTTACACAACCATACCAGCGTTCTCCTTCCTGAAGAGCAACAGCTCCTGCTCTTCGGAGGTGGTGGGAACTGCTTTTCCTTTGGCACTTACTTCAACCCCCATACAGTGACACTGGACCTTTCTTCTTTAGGTCCTGAGCAGTAAACATGATGCTTGATACAGACAATAAAGGTTTCTACAAGTGGGACTTGAGTTTGGTTATAGATATTGCCAAACCACCAACACCACCACCCCCTTTTAGTCCTTAGCATTGTTAAGTGCAGAAAGTGAGAAAGTTACTAAAATACCAACAGAGTAGTCCAAAGATAAAACAGGAAACTGACCACACAGCAATAAAGTAGGGAGCTTCTACATTCATGTATTCAGTTTATTGGATTTCTACCAATTTTCAAATCTAAGTTTATACATTTACTGAATTAAAAAGTAAAAGCAGGGCCAGGGATACAGCTCAGCAGCACAAGCGCCTGCTTGGTGAGCGCAAGGTCCTAAGTTCAATTCCTGGTATCAAAAAGGTAAACGCAAAGCTGGGTGTGGTGGTACACACCTGTAATCCCAGCACTTGGGAAGCTGAGGCAGGAGGATTGTTGCAAGTGCAAGGCCAGCCTGAACTACATATCGAGACGCTGTCTAAAAAAAAAAAAAATATTTTCTCCAACCTGACCTTTGTGACTTGAGATTGTACCTTGGAAAAAGTTTCAAATAGAGCCTTAGCAGGAATACAAGGTTGAAAGTAGTTCAAGAAACATTACTGACCTAATTCTTTGTGAAACCTGAAATGAACACAGTTGTTTAAGTTACTGTGCTCTTAAGTGCAACCAGAATTCAGTTTTAAGGGAAAATATTTGTACAACTACTTAAAACCATGCTTTTGATCAAGTTTTGCCACTAGTTTTATATTTATTTAAATGTATAAATGCCAACAAACCGAACTTTGATGTCTCAATTCATTTTAACCCTCGTTTAATGTTTTGTTCCACATCTATTGTAACCAGCCATCATTGTGTTCCATGCTCCAGGCAGCTTACCTTTATGGACTGCCCCAATCCGCTTTCTTGTCTCATGGTTTCTGGTTGAGTTCCAGTGGTTAGAGGCACTAGAAGAAGGGAATGGGTGCAAGAAGAGTGAGTCAATGTTTCTAGTTCTGTCCCTGCCAGTCTGCAGGTTGGCAGCAGCAGCTGCACTTTTCTGTCAAAGGCTACCACTCTCATCCTGTAGTCCTCTTCTGTAAGGTAAGCGTTCTAATTCTGCATCAATCCAAGCTTCAGTAATCTTTTCCTTGACTTCTTCAGGCCTAGGAGTTGTAATGGCTCATTGTTAGACCTGAGCTACACTGCCCAGTAGAGTAGCTCTAAGCAACATGTAGCCATTTAAACTAATTAATATTAAATAAAATTTGGGCTACAGGTGGTATAATCACCCATGACTAGCATGCATGATGCCCTGGGTTCAACCTCCAGCACCAAAAAAGAAAAAATGAATTCAGTGGCCCTAAACACATTTTAAAGGCTCAGTAGCCACATGAGGCCAATAGCTTTTTTTATTAAGACACTGTAAATATAAAATTCATTGTTGCAGAAAGATCTAACAGACTTTGGTGAGGTATTTTACCATCTTGACTTGTTTTTCCTTAATCCTGCTCACCCCGTTATAATGGTATATCCATTAAACTTAGTTATCCCCTTTAAATGCTGGGGACAGTCTGTTTCCTGGTGAGTGTTAAGAGGTCAACAAAATACCTTTGATATTAAGGTTTGGAATTCGATCCCTAATTTGTCATCTGAATTGTACATACCTCATAAAATTCATATCTCAAAAGGTAGTTGTGTGCTGGACATAGTAGTATATGCCCATAATCCTAGCACTCAGGAGGCTGAGGTAGGAGGATCACTGCAAGTTTGAGGCCAGCGTTGGCTACATAGTGAATTCAAGGCTAGCCTGAATTACAAAGTGAGACTGTGTCTCAAACACAAAAAACAAAACGGTGGTGCTGGTACTAAATGTATTCAAGAAGTATTTTGAGATTATATAAATATCTAAACATTAACTATCAATGTTAATGTCTTGGTGGCCTTGGCACAGAATCGCTTTTCTCAATATTTTTATGAGTTTTGCATATAAACGGATGTAAAAGGTTAATATAAAAACGAGCCGAGCATGGTGGCCCACGCCTGTAATCCCAGTACTCGGGAGGCTGAGGCAGGAGGATCATTTCAAGTTCAAGACCAAGCTGGGCTACAAAGTGAGCTCAAGGCCAGCCTGAGCTGCATATTGAGACCCTGTCTCAAAAAGACAAAAAAAAAACTAGCTAATGCAAACAGATGTGCATGGAGAGGGCCATGTTGGCTCTGTTAGATAGATAAAGGTGCCCAGAAAAAAAACAAGCTCCATAAAAGCTTGGAGTCAATTTCAACTTTCCTGAGACTGTCCAAGAACCCTTTCTGGGGAAGTCATTGGTTATGGCCAGGAGTGAGTCTGGAGAAAGTGGCTTACTATACCCACACAGGCATCTGGCAAGGCTCTCAGTGCTGGATGTTGGGCCAAGTGCTGGATGTTGGTAGGAATATGATCAGCGTGGGAAAATGCTGCTCTGTAGTCCTATTTCTAAGTTCGACACAGCCTACCTTCAGCTTCCAGAAGTAGATCAAAGCCAAACACTGTAACGAAATGAGCATAATCAGTCATGTAGTAGATAGTACCAGAATTCTAACTCCAAAGCCAGGCTTACACCTGCCATCGTGCTGCTGCTTAGACTGTGCCGTCAGCCATTATAATTTCATTGCTCTTGGGAGGGAAAGTTGGGGGAGGTCATCAAGAGAGTGTGGACATGTGGCAGACCTAAAATTCTGGAGCAGTTGTGCCTGTTACTTTTACCACTGCCCCAGATGGCACAGTACGGGTAATCAGCTTCTCCCAATTACCTCCCAGAGAAATCATCCACATTTTCCGTGATTATCACATTAAGCATACCACTTCTGACTTTTTTTTCATCATGCTCAGTTAAGGAATTATTCATCTCTCAAGCTCTGCTCTTTAGAGCACTTAGGAGTCTTGTTAGCAATGTTTACGCTGCGACTTTGGAATAGCATTCGGTATGTACTGTTTAGGTACTGGTGCTTATTCTGAAATGTGGTATTGAGCATGATAGTGAGTTTCTTCTTCATAGGCCGGAGAAATGTGTTAAGGAAGGAAAAGTATTTCTGTCTATAAAATTCTACTCCAGGTCAGGTCTTAAAAATAGCATGTCATATTAGTGAGGATATGAAAACAAAGTTAATAACTTCTAGGATATGTTTTTCAAATGCCACTACTGTCACTTTTGTGGCTTTTTGAATTTTCCAACTGAATGTCTATCATCTTTCTGCAACTTTACTCCTTCTTAGTGGTCTTCGGGAGATGGCATGTATCACACATGTTCCAGTGCCCAGGCAAGTTGGTCTTTTTTTCTTCCCCCTTTTATCTCAGGTCCTGAAGACCTAGTTTGTCCTAACCCAACATCAAGCAACCCAAGCCTACACTAAGGTTTATCCCATGTAAATGTTACCCGCCACTCTCTCCCTGCATGAGAGACTCCTGTGTGCTTTGAACAGTTTAGAGATTAAGAGAAGAATAAGTTACTAAGGTGAGTTAATCATAGAGACCACACAATAAGACTACACTAAGCCATCTGAGTGTGGTGGCTCACACCTGTTACCCCAGCACTTGGGAGGCTGAGGCGGGAGGATTGACATGAGTTTGAGGTCAGCCTGAACTACCTAGCAAGACCCTGTCTCAAACAACCAAACAAAAAGACCACTAAGCCTTTTGAGTGCAGTAATGAAAAAGAGGAAATAAAATATCATGAGGCTGGCAAGTTAAGTCTTGAATCTTGGCTAGTCATTTTTGTACTTGATGTTTAAGAATATGCACAGCAGAAATTAAGAAACTTATAATCAGCTTTAGAGTACGCTGACATTTTCTTGACTGTCAGTATTTATGTAATAAAACAATACTTTTGTTCCACAGTTTAGTTACAAGACTACTCACTCGCAGGCCGGGGATATAGCTCATAAGCGCTTGCCTGGCAAGCCTGAGGTCCTGAGTTCCATTCTCGGTACCAAAAAAAAAGACTACTGACTCTCTGTCTTGGATGTTATTGTAAATCACTTGGTTGGGAAAGGACGGTTCCTTGATCAAGGGAAGGAACTGTGTCTGTCAGGTTCACATCTCTGACCCTACTAGAGTAGATGTACAATAAATACTTGTTGAATAGAAGTCCACTCTGGTTCTCAAATTATATTTAAAGTTATTAGTGTAGGGCCTAGCATGCACAGATAGATATCAGTAATTCCTACAATTATGTATGTGGGGGGATAAGCACTAAAGTTTGGTTTTTGGTTTTTGGTTTTTACCGGGAATCGAACCCTGTGCCACTGAGCTATTTCCCTGTCCCAGGACTAAAGTTTTAAGGACCCTTCATTCAAAAGTCTTTTAAGTTCAACTAACTTCACTTCGATAAAGGCGTAGGCTTCCTGGTGTTATTCCTAGTTTTATGGAGTAGACTGAAGCCCTCTACCTGATTGTAATTTCCAGCTAATCCTGCTCAACAATAATCCATGGTTACCCCATATCCTTTGGAGTTGAAATGAATTATCTTGGCCAAAAGGCTAATCTGAGAGAGTAGGAACGTGCAATTAAATGTACTTGTGAGAACCTATAGATAGGATCAGCCCAGGATGTTGTGATGCTTCACTGGGTGTGACTTGCTGTGTAGCTCTCAGAGTAGGTTTAATAGAGGAAGAGGAAAGGCCTTGCCCTAATTTTTATGTGAAAAGTCATTTACCCATAATTGGCAGATTAAAGCTAGTATGCAAAATTGTAATGGGAATGATTTTTATGATATTACACAACATTCTGCTTTTCTTTTCCTAGTTTTTGTTCACAATTTTCTATGAATAAAACTTCCATGGGAGTTTTATTTTCAAATTGGGAGTTCCAAGCTCTGATTTACATTTACGTTTATTTTTTTTAAAAAGTTAGCAAAGCTGATCTTTCTTGTTTATGAATACATAACAACTTAATCTGTATTTAAGAAAAAATATTTTTGCCCTCCCCTTTCCCTTACCTTGAAAAAACTCAAAAAAGCAGTGTCTAAGGGCAGTGTGGTGGTACATCCAAGATGTTCCAGAGACTAAGGCATGAGGATTCTGA